CACAAGTTTCGCACTGAGGGGACACCAAGAAGAGCTTTGGTTTTGATGTTCATTTGGAAAGAACGTCGCGTGCCTTGCTGTGAGCAGCACGAACCGCAGGAAGCATGCCAAGAAGCAGGGACAGCCGGAGGTATTGCAGAATACTTCGTATTGAGATTCATGCATGAAGGCCTGACATCCTGTGCCGAATAAGAAGCCTATGCCCTACATGTTGACCTCAATGCCTTAACAGCAACGCAGCATCTGCAGGCTTACAACAACATGGGCGTCATCTTCAAGGAGCAGGAGAATCTAGAGAAGGCTCTTCTGACAGTCGCTGAACCTCAACTCTGAACCTCGGGCATTGCAGTGTTTGTATAGGGCCATTCTGCAGTAATTCGGTATTACTACTTGTATGATGATTGCTGCAGAGGATGATGGCTTTCCAATGCGCAGATGCAACCACGACCTCAAACAGTCACTCTTTCGATGGGTCAGTGCCATCTGAAATGTAGTCTGATAGGTGCGGCATGGTGCAGCTTTGAATTTGCCACATTTATTATCAACAGATGAATGCTTTGCCAGCTGAAGCTTGGAATCAGTATTGTGTACTGGGTCGTTCCCACAAAAACTGGGTGCCTTGTTAGGGTGATCGGCCTCAAAATAGAGATTATAGGCAGCCTAGAAGTGAAATACCGCGCTCTGTCAAGAGCCCCTGGTTCTGCCTTCAGGCGCTGAAGTACTACCACATGGCCATTCAGTGCAACCCGCGTTTCGCGCAGACTTTGAACAACCTGGGCCCCAGCCTCAAGTTCTTCCTCGATGCCCAGCTACACACCATGGACGACTATTCCTCAGTCCTTCTGCATACACTTCAATGGCCTACGGCCTAGGAACTTGCTATGCAAGTAGTTGGGCTTCTAGGTATTCTCGTGTAGGCTGAAGAAGCTTGCCTGTTGATAGCTGCGGTGTCGAAGAACACAAGCTGAAGGCCTTTGCATTCCCGAGCATGGCAAACAATACCCAGTTTTTCTGGTTTCCGAGAGCTTCCAAACATGAAGATGAGCACAGGTGTGGCTTACACCACGTCGGGCAGGTTGACTGAGGCACGCTTATGTGTCTCCTTGCGTACAGCCAACAGTGTCAGGCATGGATGTCTCAAAGTTCGGGTCTCCCTACGCGAAATCGCAAGAGCATTGACATTGAGCAAGGAACGAAGGATTCACATGCCTGCCTGAATCTTGTGTTGTTGATGCAAGCTTGGGGCCTCTCAGGGATTTGCAGAACCGTTCTACATGCGATGTGTGTTGAGAAGTCCCCACTTCACAAGGGGGAGCCTTAGGGAGTAGAGCAAGGAGTATTCGGGATGACGGGGTATCTACCCCTCTGGAACAAACCCCCTCTGCAAGGACCCTGTAAAAAAAGTGGTGCCTGTCTGCGCAGCTTGAAGTTCAGCTGCCTGGAGACATCTGCAAGCCTCCTGCACGTTCCCTTGCTGCTTGATGCCAGCAACCAGATGATTGGTATTCTGGAGCATTACTAGCTGAAGACATATTCCCTGGCTGGCGATAACTCAACAGTCTTACGCTTCTGCAGGCGCTCGAGTACTTGTCCAGGGCGGTTGCGGTGGCGCCAAATTATGTGAGCAGCTCAGTGAGGTACAAGATGGTGGCCTGCAGTATTGTGCGCAAATGAGCTGCATAAATTCACCCTGCTTCCAGTAATCGCTCTCCGAGCGATAGGGTAATATTTGGGTGATATGGGGGTTGTATGGGGATAATGGAAAAGAAAATGGAAACTACAGGGAATATAGGGGTTATATAAAGGCACATATACGTGCCGTATGGCAGTCGCCGTATGGCAGTCAGTGGAAGTTTGCCTTGCAAACTCAAACAGTTCTTGGCAAGCCGCGCTTGCCTCTGAGGTGGACTCTAGACACTCCGCCTACAAAATCATCAGACTTGCCCCCTACTGGAACAGCCTGAAATCCTAGGTCCCAGATCTGGTGTTCCCGTAATCTTAGGAATCTGCCAGGGGGCCAGCTTCAAAATAAGGATTGCCTCATTGTGACCCAACAGCTGAACCCATAACTTTACGCTTTGCGCCTCACCTCAGAATCCTTATAGTCTCCCTGTGCGGTCCCCGCAGTCCCCTTGATAATCCTTGTATGGCCCTACATGCAGAACCCCAGGCCGAAGCCTACAACAACTTGGGCTGGCTATTTTGGGACCATGGAGACCTGGCACAGGCTACGGGGGCACGTGAAAGCATGTTTGCAGGGCTTGCGGTTTAAGGTTCACGGCATGGTTTTAGGGTTCACGGCATGGGGTCCTTAGTTTGGGGAACGATTTTGTATGACTGAGGCTTTAAGGTCAGGTTTAGCATATTTTCTTGAACTCTACACAATCAGGATTCTTTGATTTACGAGGCTTTGAGTGTAGACTTTTAGTTGAATTCAGATCTTGACCCACCGACACATCATCGAGAATGCCAGTATCGAGCCATCAAGTCTGCTCTCTTTGCCTGGGCACCAAACGTTACCCATTAGTATATTATAGTATAAGACTATACTATATTATGATATATTCTAGTATATAATCCCTATATAACCCATTATAGCATGTTATAGCAACTTATCACTCCTGCGGCTTCCTGCGATTCCTGCTAGAAGTCCAAAGACTGCATGACTTTGAGGGAATCCCGGCTTGACAAGGTACGATAGACATATACGTGTATATGTAATTTAAATATCTGCGTGTAGCTAACATGTAATTTGGGCAGATGTAGACATATGTGCATGTGTACATACGCATAATTATACTTTTACACACTCACACATGTGCATGTACATCATGTCGAACAGATGCATGCAGGCAACACGTGGCAGCTATGTGTATACGTAGATATGCATCTATGTATATGCTATCATATGCATGCTTGTTTTAGTGAACACTTGCGTGTGAGCATCATCTTATGCCCTTCCCCAAGTTGTTGATGTTGCCTACTTTAGCTACGCAGGCTCAGGGGATGGGCACAAGCTTAAACCTAAAATGGGTGCACCCGAGTTCCAAAGTCTCGAGCAAGTCCCAGAACTGAAAGGACTTGAATGCGGACCCCAAACAGGGAAAGCCAAGAATATAGCAGGAAGATAATAGGACTACATGGACCCTGATAGGTATATCCCTTAACATATTGTTACTGTGTTCTTTGGGTTCCCTGTTTGGAGTCCCCATTTACGTCTTTAATAACCCATAAACTCCAAAGTTCGCAGCTTCAACACCTTGAACCGTCAACCCCCCAAACTGCCCCATATAGATAATCAACCCGCGAAACTTGCAAACCTCTATCCTTGATCCATATATCCCGAAGCCTGAAGCGCTGAACTTGAGATCCTGAACCCTCAATCCCCCAGCAGCGCCTGAGCTCCAAAGCCCGAAGACTTTACCCTCCTTTGCTCCCTAAAGGCTCTGCGCATGTACGAGCGCTGCATTGAGCTCTCCCCGACGTCCAAGAACCCTTCACAAAATCGCTGCCTGGCACTACTGGTTCAGGGTTTGAGGTTAAGGGATGAGGGCTTGGGGGTTTAGTGTTGTTTAGCCACGTAGTTTGGGATCAGGCGAGAGCTGAGGGTCGGTGCTTCAAAATAATTGCTGAGGAGTCTGGGAGCCTGCATGAGTTAGTACCACCATCATTCATCTGGGAGTCGCCGACGTCATGGATCTCTGTTGGGGGGTCCCTGTAATAAGCATGAACCAGCATTTGGAGAAATGTTGATGTGCAAATGTTGATGTGCCTATTGTGATGACGGCTGTCCTTCTGAATCAACAGCAGAAGGAAGAGTGGTATGGGTGTCAAAGCGCTGACAGATGTCAGAGTGTACAGCAGCCTGGCCTCACTGGTATTCCCTAAGTCAGTTTGCATGTTTCCAAGCTGGAAAGATCTCAATCGGAACATCTAAGAAGCTGTTGCTCATGCCTTCTTAGCAAGACCCTGGAGCGAGGACGCCTTCAGCTTAGTACTGGTTGCAATTTCCGGCGGAACAGATAAGACCAATTGACCAACAATCCACGCGGAGTGCTCACCATCTCCCTTGGATTGACAGAGCCAGGCACACCAGCACATTTTTCTCAGTCTAGATGGCGCAGAGTCGTCAAGTAGTTGGTGGGAACGGCCAGGTTTACTGGCATTGAATTACTTGCCGGAGCCTGAGTGCCCTGTGGTGGGAGGTCACAAGTGTGCTGCAAGCTTGCGCTACCTGACTTGAAGTCAAGCGAATTGTTGCTGCTAGCAGTATATACGTTGTGCATTCTGTGGCTTTTGCAGC